ATCTCCATCCTTAATCACCCTAATCTGCTGCACATCCTTTCCAGTCTCTCTCTAGCCAATTGATATAATCAACCCTTTACTCCTTCCTTACAGTCCAACCTCACAATTTACTGTAAGACTTTTCCTTTAGTCTTGCCACCTCTCTCTTTGATGTAGACCTAGCTTCCCAGCACTCCTGTCTACTTTCTTCATCATTCTGACTATCCCACTTTTTCTTTGCTAACCTCTTCGTTTCCTGTACTTGCTCATTCCAACCTAAAGTCTCCTTGCCCTCTTTCCTCTGTCCAGTAGACATACCAAACACCTTTTGGTACTTTCCCAGTCATCTGGTAACTCTTCCCTACCACCCAGAGTCTGTCTCAACTGCTCCCTGAACTCTGCATAACCTTGCATGTGTTTTCTCTTGCTTCTTCTTCTTGATCTGCCAGTTCATGAAAACAGACATTTGATACTGCCTAATATTATTCTTCCTCAATGCCACCCTGCAGCCTCATATCTCTTTGAGATTGCACCTCCATGAGATGTAGTCCACCTGTGTGCAGCTTCCTCCACTCTTATGTCACCTTGTGTTCTTTACAGCCATTTCCAACCTTCCAAAGTCCACTACCATCTGTCCATCTGCATTTCTCATCTCTCTACCCACTTAACACCCTCTCATCACCTCTTTTCCTTTCACCAGCATGTCCATTGGCATTGACATTGTCTCCCTCTCTCCTCCGTGGGAACACTCCCTACCACTTCATCCACTTACCGCAGAATTTCAGATGGCCTTCCTGATGCAACCTTCCCCATATGTAATCAAGACTTGGACCTTGCACTATGATTAGGTTGTTCTCTTAATGTCCCACCACAGAATTTAAATCAGGTTGAGGTCTGAACCCTGAGTGGACCATGACACAGAGTGTCACCCTGAATTGTGTTAACTGACTTCCTTTAACAGGTTTCCTGGCCAATCAGAGCAATCCCAAAGCTGTTTGGAAGAAAACAGACCTGCAGTGCTCCTAACAGCTACAAGGACATTTATAACATATGTACATAAGTAGAAACCACTTAGTATACGTAATGTAATACCATTTCAGGTGCAATTACATTATTTGAACAAAACAAAATGTGATAATGAAACAGGGTTACCTCCCCACCCTTACTGCCTGCAGGAGGGAGATGAAGCTCTGGTCTGTTTGCCTCCGCACTTCCGTTAACTCCATATTGATCTGGATCACCTTACGCCAACTCCTGGCCTGAAGGGTCAGAAAGTGGATAAATTGGCCAAACATCCATTAATGCTCTCAAGGAAATACGCAGAACAGAACCTGACTTGTGAACCGAATAGACAGTTTTGAAAAAAAGCAAGGTGTAGTAATGACTAATATGTGGACCAGACTCTCAGCATATAGTACATCGGAAAAAGTAACCAGTTTAAAGCACATAGAAATAACAGATTTTCCATCCAGTTTTAATTTCACTTACATAACGAAATGCATTTAATATTGAAATTGTAAGCCGGTTCCATAAACTACTAAGCAGTTCCATGATGGTCTGACCAGAAAGCAGAAGCTGGCTTTTTCCTTTCCCTTGGAAACTGGAGCCAGCTGAAGGAAGCTGGATACCTTCAAATGGCTCAGTAGACCTCGTCACTGGCATGCAAGATTTCAGGGAACTATGTATCACCAAAGGAAAACTATAGTAATGGACTATAAAATGAGAAAAGATGACCACATACAGTCATGTTAAAAGGAAAGTTTTCACAGGACTCAGTGGAAAAACAATGTATTCCATGTTCCTCATCAATAACTTGAGGTAATAATTTTCTCACCTTGCTGCCCAGTCTTCTTCAAGGTTCAAGGTTCAAGGTTCTTTATTTGTCACATGCATAGTTATACAAGTATAACACACAGTGAAATGTAGCCTGACACGCTCCTCGACATGTGCAAAAGTTGGGGGGGGTGTAGAGGAAGAACATATACATATATATATATATAGTATATACACTGGGTGAATGTGCAGTAGTGGCAGCAAGCAGGTGAATTCTGTACATTAATATGAATAGACATCTGACTATTTTACAGGATAGACAATATAAACATATTTAAAATTAAAGGAATTGAAATGTACATTGTGCCTTGGTTTAGAGTGTCTGGAAGAGAGTCCTGTCTCAGTCAATTATAGATGATGTGAGAGGGCGGGTGTGTGTGTTTAGGGCACGGATGGCTTGGGGATAGAAGCTCCTCTTGAGTCTCTCTGTCCTTGCCCGGAAGATGCGGAACCTTCTACCACATTTGAAGAAGTTGGAACAGTTTGTTGCCAGGATGGGATGGGTCCTTCAGTATCTGCGCTGCTCTAGTCCGGCATCTCCTGGTGTAGGTGTCCTGAAGCGGGGGGAGAGCAATCCTGCAGCAGCGTTCTGCTGTATGGATCACTCTCTGGAGAGCTTTTTGGTCCTTCACACAGCTGTTCCCAAACCACGATGTCATGTTCTGTGTGAGGATGCTCTCCACAGCGCCTGTATAGAAAATCCTGAGGATCTTTGGAGAGACCCTGAACTTCCTCAGTTGTCGTAGGTGATACAGGCGCTGCCTAGCCTTTTTGGTGTGGACCTGAATGTGGGCAGCCCATGTCAGGTCTGAGGAGATGTGGACACCAAGATACTTGAAGGACTGCACCCTCTCCACTGGAGCTCCATTGATGATAATGGGCTTGTAGTCTCTGTGCTGACCCCTTCTGAAGTCCACCACCAGCTCCTTGGTCTTGCTGACGTTCAGCTGGAGGTGGTTGTCCTGGCTCCACGATGCCAGATTCTTCACTTCATCCATGTAGGCCGCCTCATCGTTGTTGGAGATGGCACCCAACACCACTGTGTCGTCAGCAAACTTCACAATGGTGTTGGAGCCATGGGTGGCCACACAGTCTGAAGTGTAGAGGGAGTAGAGCAGTGGCGAGAGGACACATCCCTGAGGTGCTCCTGTGTTGATGGTGATGCTGTTGGAGAAGCACCTGCCCACCCTCACCACCTGAGTTCTGCCAGTGAGGAAGTCCAACACCCATGCACACAGACGGCTGTTAAGTCCCAGATCCCTGAGCTTTGTGAACAGTCTGCAGGGCACTATTGTGTTAAACGCTGAACTGTAATCAACAAACAGCATTCGCACATAGTTACCCTGTTTCTTGTCCACGTGGCTGAGAGTGGTGTGTAGGACGTGGGCGATGGCATCCTCTGTGGATCTGTTGGATCTGTAGGCGAACTGCAGCGGATCTGTGGTGTCTGGGATGGAGGAGGAGATGATGTTCTTCAGCAGCCTCTCAAACACCTTCATTACTACCGAGGCCAGTGCAACTGGCCGGTAATCGTTCAGGGATGAGGGTTTGCTGTTCTTGGGCACAGGGATGATGGTGGATCTTTTGAAGCATGTGGGGACCACAGACTTCGCCAGGGACTCGTTGAAGATGTAAGTGAACACACCTGCTAGCTGGTCAGCACAGCAGCGCAGCAGACGGCCGGTGATGCCGTCTGGCCCCGCCGCTTTCCTTGTGTTCACTCTCCTCAGTGCCGCTCGGACGTCATGCTCCGCGATGCTGGTCACCGGTCTCTAGCTGATGACGTCACTGTCCTCGGTAGTCAGGCAGTAGATAGCATTAGCCGCCTGGCTAACCTCGAAACGGGCGTAGAACCGATTCAGCTCGTTGGTGAATGCAGAGTCGGCGTTGATCGGCGCAGTGTCCCTGGCTTTGTAGTCCGTAATGGTGCGTAGTCCGTGCCACATACTCCGTGTGTCGCCCTGGTGGAAGCGGGACTCCACACGTTCCCGGTACCGGCGTTTGGCATCTCTCACCGCGCGCCGTATGAGGCTGCTTTGCAGGCGCTCATATCGCCAGTGGCGAGACCCGCGTTGTAGGAGGCGGTCCTGGCGTTTACTGCAGTGCGGATCAATCTGTCCATCCACGGTTTCTGGTTTGGGAATGTGGTGACTCTCGCAGTGGGGATAATCTCCTCCGCTAGCATATTGACGAAGCATACTGCTACTTTACAGCATTGCTGCAGTTCACTGAGGCTCTCTTAAGATCTTACGTCTGATGTTGACACTGGAACATCTTGATTCTTTTCTTTTTCAGACATTTTGTTGTAGATTTATAGGTGTGCTTGGGATCAGTGTCCTTTTGCATAACCTAGTCTGGGTCAAGCTCTAGCTGTCAGACAGGTGGCCTCACATTTGACTCTAGAATACTCTGGGATACAGAGGAGTTCATTATCAACTCAATGACTGCAAGGTGTCATTGAGTTGAGGTTAAGTCAGTTGTAACAGTTGTTACAATAAAACTATTTTTGGACTATAATTTATAAAAGTAGCTGAACAGTAAATGCTAACTAGGTAGGTTACCAAGTTTGCATCTGTTATTGACTTTGACTTTTAAAGGGATGCTAGCTTTGCCTTATGAAAACGATGACTAAAGCTAATTTTACCAGCTGAAAGATGTGAAAACACCTTTAAGTGTGTTGTAAATAGACTGAACACGCAAGGAGTTGATCTTACTCAGAAACAGAGGATGCTGCATTCATGTACTTTGTCACGGTTCTGGGTCTTTATGAACCAGTATTTTGAGTTCTTGTATTTTTATATTATGGTTTATGTTCCTTGGTTGTACTGTTTTGATTATTGTCATTTCCCTAGGTTTTAGTTATGGTTGTCAAGGGTTTAGTTCTTAGGTTTTGTGTGATGGCTTCCCTTTGTTCCGTGTTGTGTCTAGTGTGCCTTTCTGTCCCATGTTTCAGGTCCTTATGTTCTGTCTCCGCAGTCTGTTAGGTTTACATGTCTTGAGTTCAGTCAGTGTGTTTCCTGTTTTACTTTGAAGATCTTTGTCCCATGTCAGTGTTTCTAGTCTTGCTTCCCTTGTCTCGTTCAGTCTAATTACTCCCAGCTGTGCTCTCCTTCTGTGTCTCATTACCCTTGTTATCCCTCAGTGTATTTAAGCCCTGTGTTTCTTTCTGTCAGTGTCGTGTCCTCCCTCATAGCTGTGTGTGGTTCTCCCGTGTCTCCTGGTGTATTAGTTTCCCCCAGTTGAATTTGCATTGTTTTGTATCACCTTTACTTCTGCTCAGCAAATAAAGCTGCATTTTTGAGTCAAGTTCCCATTTTGGTGAGTTTGCGTTCTCCTGCTTGCACACAGCCGTTTTGTGACATACTTGCTTTCACAATGTCGTACTGTATTCAGAATAAGCAAACACCACCCTTTCTGTAACTCTCTGGCTGTTAAAAGCAAACGATTGTGGGAAGATTCACTTGCATTAAGTCCACCAAAGAGCAGTGGAAATTATGCTTTTCAGGGGTCAAATGTTGACTGAGTGACAAAGTTTGTGTGACTGCCGAAGGAAACTGCAGTGAGTTCACCGCAAAGAGGAATAATTGTGAAAGAAAAAATGGCTGCAGTGAAAGTTTTTTGTTTTTTTTAAATACTTATGACCAATGTGAAACCAAGAATAGCACAAACCTACACCTACGCAGTACCCATTAACGATTTTTCGATACGTTTTGACTGCCAACATGTCATCTGTGTGTGCAGAGCTCTATCCAGGAGAAAGGGACTGCTGCCAAGAGCACGATGAAAGGCTGCATAATTTTGTCTCCCGGGTTATAAACCACACCGCCTGGTAACTCCAAAGTTCTCTAATTTACACAATGCGTCAGATGGCCTTTAGTCTTATTAATATCCTGGTTTTGTTCAGCTCGTGTTTGTGCAGCTTCACTGTGAGCAAAGCCACACTGAAATGTTCATCCACTGCAGTTCTTTAACAGCTTCAGGGGTGTTACTACTATTGTTTTCAGTGTGTGCATGTACCATCATACCCAAAACATAGCCATCATGGTCCCTCGTGCCCTGATACTTCTGCCTTTCCTTTGTTTTTCTCCCCTTTTCTTTGACTTTTCCTCACTTATCCTCCAACAGTTCCTTTGTCTCTCTTCCCTGAGGTCTGGTGTGTGAGCAGGTAAATCTTACTACAGCTATGAGGTCATGCAACCGGCTTCGACTGGATCTCTGGCTAGCACACCTGCTCTCCCTCGGCTTATCAGCCAGCTGCATATTTAAGAGTCGTTCACTCAACATCAGGTTATACTGCTTCAGTAGTGCTAACAGCTTCCAGCCCAGCTTAGCGTCTTTGCGTCTGGTCTCCTCTTTAATATTCTCCAGTGGGCTCAGCTCTGGAACAGCTCCCTCTGCTGCACTCCATCCATCATCAACAAAGTTCTCCCACTAGTTTTGTTCTTCATCTGTATGCTAAACGATTCCAGTAACTTGTCACGTAATTGTTATAGGGTAACTGTCTGTTTATGACTTTGTAAATTATCTAAACCTTCACTGTCACATTTGCAGGTAGAAAAAAGCAATATCACCTGCTCTATAAGATTTTGCCACAAAATGTATTGCTATAATGTGTTAAGTGTATTTTTAATTCCTCTTGAAGATGTAGTGCTATCTCGTGAAATTCAGTGTGTATCGATTACATTTTTCATGTAAATGACCAAACCTTGCTCTTCAGTTTATGAGCTACGGAAGAATGTCCTCTTTTTTCTTTTCTTTTTTTGTCTCTCATAAAATTCTCCAGTAAAAATATTGTTTGGCATCCTTGTTCCTTTTTCTGAATTATTGCAAAACAAGATTAATAAATGAGGATTTTGAATAGGAACCAAGCAAATTGCTCAGGACAATGAAGTTTAAATCAGTTCATATTTCTATTCACAGTGAAGACCATCCACTGAGCACTGAGGCCTCGTTAGAGCAGTAATCATTAAGGTTATTAGGAAATAAATCTCCTTGTCTTATCTTCAGTAAAAGTATTCAAATAATATTAAATATTATCCCTGCGATCTACAGCGCTGAACTGTGTCAATGTCATTATAAGTATCACTTTCACACAATGCATATTTTATTATAGACAAAATTTTGATGAGCTGAAGGAGAAAACTTAATAAAACTTGCCTCATGATGGCCCAGTATTAGATTTCATATCACTGTGATAGCAGTGATAACAACATGAAACAGTCACGTCAGCTCTCACTGTGTGGAAAGAAAAAAGATGATCTGATGATCCGGGATACCAACATTAATTCCTGAAATAGGAGAGCTATGTAATGCAAAGACAATGCTGACACACACACGCGCACCCACACACACACACAGAAATACACAAACATGTTACATTTAGTGAAGTTGCGTGGACAGTGTGTGGGATGTCAGAACTGAAACCACACAGTCAACAGTTGCAGGCTATAAAATTTGAACTTTGAATTGTGTGTCTGTGTTAAGGTGAATGTGTGTGTGTGTTTGTGGCCATACAAAACACTCCACTGGAAAGATGTGAGAGGAACATTTCGTAACAGGAACATGCCATTATTCATCTAGATAACATATCTTGATATTGGGTGGCGCAGTGGTACCATTGCCTCAATCTAGATCTCATCTAGATTATCATATTAAGATTTGGGACACATCGTCAGTGGTGGACCTTGGATTCATCGGGTGTTTCAGCCATTATCACTAGACACCCTCATCCAAGGAGGCCCTGCCGGGGTTGATCAGGCCCTGGAGTGTGTCACTGGTTTATGTTAAATTCGTATTTCTCTTATTCTTTCTTCTGTTTAGTTTTCTACAGTTTATTTTCTCCTATCTATTCACTGCAACTGCAACGTCTTTAGCATTTATGGAACCTCACTTCTTCAGAGGGATAGAAAAGGTGATAAAGAGAAGTAAGACAAACGGGACAAGATAGGAGAGAGCAGAAAACAGAGCCGGAAGGGGCCAGCTCTGGCTTCCCACACCTTCCCGCCGGATCGGGCTGTACGCTCCACCTCCCAACTGCCTCCCAGAGAAGGGGAGAAGAGCAGAGGGGAGAAGAGCAGAATATTTTATTTTCTCTCCTGGTTAGCTGACTGCCTTAGCTGCCCAAGGGATGTCAGCCCTTTTTAACCATAGCCAGTGACTGGTCCTCTCAGCAGTGTTAGCTAATTCTCTTATAGCCTGCCGTTGTGCCTGTCCTCTGATCTCTATCTCTCAAAGCAGTGGAGAGCAGTGAGTAGTCAGATGTAAGGGGTCTGGAATTAGTTTTGAGGTCAGATTTTGAGAAAAATAATCTGGTGCCAGCAATGAAGGACTGAAATAATTGTCATTACACCAGAAAAATGCATGTCTGGGATAAAGGAGACACTTGGACATCTTGTTTTTGGCACAAACCTCTGTTAGACACCATGGTATAACCTTTGATTCTGGTTTTACTTTGGATGCACATGTCAATGTCTGTTGTTCATTCCTGTTTTCATCATCTAAGAAATATTGCTCCATTAAACTCCATTTTGTCACATTCTGAACTGGAAATTATTATTCATGCTTTTGTTTCGTCACAATTGAATTACTGCAATGCACTATATACATCTTAGCAAAACCTCCCTAGAACGGTTGCAGGTTGTTTAAAATGCTCCTGCAAAATCCTCCCAGTTTTGACATGTAACTCCAATCTTGATGCAGCTACATTGGCTTCTGGTTTATTTCAGAGCGCATGATTCTTTTACTGACTTGGAGAGCTTTTCACGGACAGGCACCAGGTTATATGAGAGGGTTTCTGCACCTATATTACTTATAAAACAAATGAAAGAATGTTTAAATAATTCTTTACTTAAAATAAAAAAAAAGAATCTACAGGGAAGATGTGGCATCTCGTATTGGTACAAGGCTGAGTGGCAGCTTCATACATAAAGAAAATTACAGTTGTCAAGGCAACAGAAAATTAAAAATTAAAGAAAGTTAAAAGTCTTTAATGTTTAATAGACACATTTAATAGGGCATAACTAACTAATTTGATTTCAGAGTCAAGAATGACTGTCACGACCTGCGGGGTCGGCAAGGCACTGATCAGCAATCTCTCTCCCCCTCCCCTGTTTTGCCGGGGCAGAACTCATGGCGGGTTCACGCCCTCGGCCCACGCCCTCCCGGATCATGCACACCTGGGCCTCATCAGACCAGCTGGTATATCAGAAGGAGGAGATCAGCTGTTCAACGCTGGATTGTTGTGAAGACTCCTGTCAGTACACGTCGAGTCCTAGTTTCCCACACTTCCGACTCAGAAAGTAACACTTGTCTCTCTGTTCTAGATTCCCCGGACCCGTCCCCGTGTGGAGCGTGTATGAGGTGGCTGGTCACTAGCGGAGAGAGGTTGGCGTGAGCGTGTGTGTGATCCCCTTGTTTTCCCTGGAGCCCTGGAACCCGTCCTCGCACATCTTGTATATAGCACTGTCCTCGCACTGCCTGTAAATACACTTGGTGAAGATATTTGTGAATAAACTGTCTCTGTTACAACACACTCCGGAGTCCTGCGAGTGGATCCTCAGAGCAACCCGTGACAATGACACCAATATTTATTGCATAAGGCTTTACATTCAGTGACAGAGAACCAAGGCAATTGATAATGCTGGGAAACTTTATCGAAGACTTATGGAGAGGCAAAAAGCGTGAAATGTACATGGTAGATTGGCGTGTCTATTACACATTTTTCTGTGATACTGGGTTGAAAAGACATATACAGCTGAAAGTCATCAGCCTAAAAAATATAAGAAATGTTTTTAAAAAAAAAAATAATGTCAGCTAAAGGAAGCATGTAGAAAGAAAGTAATAATGGCCCCAAGATTGAACCTTGTGGAACCCCATAGGTTAGTGAGAAGATCCTATCAGATAAGTAAAAAGAAAACTAGTCTGACGCAGAGACAGAAAAAACAGTCAAAACCTTATGCCTATTAAGTAAGGTTTTATGGTCAGTGGTATCAAAAGCTGCACTAAGATCAAGTAAAATAATTACAGAACAATCTCCTGCATGAAAAGCCATTAACAGATCATTATAGACCTTCAAGAGAGTGGTCTCAGTGGAGTGCTGCTTTTGAAAGTCAGACTGAAAGGGGTAAAAAATCAGTCATTTCCATAATAAAGATCTGAAGTGATTTTCTACCATTTTTTTCTAATAATTTACTAGCAATTTTTAAATAGGGTGATAATTATTACTTGCGCTGGGTTTAAGATTAGTTTTCTTTAGTAGGGGAGTTACCTCAGCATGTTTAAAATAGGATGGAAAACAACATTGCCTCAGTGAGATGTTAATGATAGACAGCAATAAAGGACCAATGCTGACGAAACTCCCAGATAGGATAGAAGAAGGTAATTTGTCTAAGGAGCACTTCAATATTACTGAAGTTAAGTCATTAAGTGAAATTGGTGAAGAAGAAATAAATGACTCAGTGCACTGAGGACCATCTTCATAAGGTGAGCGACTTGAGGAGATTTTCGATCTCAGGTTCATCGCCTTATTTACACAGTGATTGAGAAATGTGTCACAGTCGTCATCAGAAAGTAGCGCGGCATGCTGATGTTGAAGAGAAACAATGTGGTTTATAGTATCAAATAATACCCTGGGATTAATCTTATGACAGTTCATAAGATTATAGAAATATAAGGATCTAGCCTTTTTGACTGCCTCATTTTAAGAGCAAAGGAGCTCTTTGAAGAATTCACAATGGTCAACAAAACCAGTGGACTTCCAAAGACGCTTTACTTTTTACAGGAAATTCAGAGGTTGATTATGTAACCAGGGTATGAGACTTATATGAGACATGTTAGCAACTGAGCAAGCATTACTTTGCATAATTTTAATAAAAACACCCACTGGGGCACGTGTAGAGTCCAGACAGAGAGGTACAGCTCACTGCTGTGCCTCTCTGTTGACCTCCTCTGTCCAGAATTTTAACCAGAATTTTCAAATTTGAATTTATCACTCCATCAGACCTGTTGCCACTGATTTTTAGTCCAGTTCTTGTGTAATTTAGTACACTTCAGCCTTTTCTCTCTGTTTCCCTTACTTAAGAATGGTTTCCTGATTGACAGCTACCTTTCCAATGAGACCATTTCTGATTAGGCTTCAGTGAATACTAGATTGATAAACTGAAGGGTCTGTGGTGCCTGTGTCCTGTGTCAGGGTTTGATGTACTGCTTACTATTTCTTAAGGACATGACTTCCAACGAGTGTAGATAGTTTTGATAGTTTCTAGGCCTGCCACGTCTTCTTTCATCTTTGAGTTTCCAGAAGGAACGATCAATATGAATGCAGAAGAGGGTTCTAAAAGAATTAAGGTGGTCTAGCTTCCTGAGTTTGAGCACCGACACCGTCATCTCAGCCTAGATTCGCTATAGCCTCCATTACTTTATTTTTATATCATTTAAATGGCATTCCAAGCCACAGAAACATCATAAAAGAAATCAGTCTCATGAGCTAAGAGATTCACGGCTTCCATGACTTCAACCTGACTGCCTTCAGCTTAATTTCATTTGCAGACAGAGTTGTATTGATCTTCTTATCTATGAAAACAAATAAGTGTATTTCCCAAAATGTACATAACACAGCACAATAATTCCAGTTTCCATTAAGCGGATAAGAGAGTAAACACTAAGGAAGTACCTGAATTACTAATTCTAAAAACAGATGACATGAAGATGAATGAAGAAAAATAAGAGAGACTGAGAGAGGGAGGCGGATGGATGTGGGAAGAACAGTTATTTAATCAGGAAGTGCAGAGGATTAGTGAGGAGAAGGTGAGGGCAACTAAGAAGAGGATGAAGAGTAGAAAAGCAGTTAGTCCTGATGACATACCTGTGGAGGTACAAAAATGTTTAGGAGATAAGGCAGTGGACGATTGTTTATATTGTTTAACACAATTCTGGAGAGTGTGAGGATACCTGAGGAATGGAGAAGAAGTGCACTGATACAGATTTTCAAGAACAGGGTTGATGTTGCCACCTGTAGCAACTACAGAAGGATAAAGCTGATGAGTCATACCAGGAAGATAT